CAACAGCCATCCTTTTTATGCAACTCTTAGTCTTGAGAAAAGTGTGAGAACTTGTTTGAAGGGAAAATCTACCAGAATGTGTATATAAGTCAAACTCAAGCGTACAGGATGTTGGAGCAGACAGCAACAAGAATGAACGTAGGGCGGGTCGAGTGACTTGGCTGTCTGCAACTTGTTGACTTCATCATGTTGGAAAGACATTTCAACTGTCACGAGTGAAATTCGAAAGATAGCTGCTTCGTCTCTCTTGCCCGTGTATTGGTCATGGTGAATAAACCACGAGCACAATCGTCACAAAGGTCGATCGGCGAGACCAGGCCATCAAGCATGGGCGATGAAGTCTGGATATCTGCCGCAGGCAAGAACCCGAAGAGTGCTGAAATGGTACCCTCGACGATGGATTGGTATGGTCAATTGAAATTTGTGTCAAGGTGCCGCCCGCGATTAAATAAGGCTGGGTGTGTGCTCGGGGGGGCTGGAAACGGAGGTGCCGCGATGAGATGACTCGACGCATCGTATTTAACTACGGGCACTTGCCAGAGAAAGGTCCTGTTTCGGCAGAAAATGAAGTTGTAGTTATCTCCTTTGACGGAGTTGCCCTAGAGATCTACTCTCAATGTGACCATGGATAACACGAGGAGCTCTTAGCACACACAGCGTCGCCCTCTGACCTTCAAGTTAAAGGAGCCTAGTCGCCTTCCAATAACATCTCTATACTTTGGGGATTATACATATGAGTTACCGTTGCTAGCAACTGGAACGTAGTATCTGAATACTAACTATAATGCGGGCGACTAAAGCTTTTATAGCTCCTTCTGGCTGTCTCGCTGAATGCGAGAGAGCAGAGTTCACGATTGCAAAGCCGAGATACCGAACAAAGATTAAAAGGAAGATTCAGGTGAAATCAGAATCTGCGTGCGATGCTAGTTCTTAGAGATGAGACCAGATAGCTAGGACCCCAGTCTCAAGATGACCATAGGGAGGGTATCTTTTCACTATAAAAAGACGTATTATGTGACCTGTAGAATTGTTCCATTTGGCGAGAAATCATTATTAATGAGAACACTGTTGTTATTTTCTTGTCCGTAACGGCTTCCGGCGTATAAATAGAATTATATCTTTTCTTCCAGTGGGATAGCCGAAGCAATGCTCATGTGCTTATTTCAAACGTATGTCTCCAAACCTCCCAACTAAGATTGAAGTTTCTGACCTCTCGATAATGCCAAGCCAAATGGTTCCAAGTCACAGGTGATCTACCTTAGCATTTCTGTCACATCGTGATGAGATTTTTTAGCAACATATGAAGCTGTTTCTAAGTTTTCTGGCTAGGTGCTCATTGTCTTTACGATGGGAAGAACGTCCAACGTTGAGTGGAGATGACCCATAGCAGCAAGCTGGTACGGGTGACTTTCTGAATGCTTGTCAATCTTCTGGATTCTTAACCAGGTAGAAGATAGACATGAATAATGAGGTAGAGACGCAACAGTGTGAAGATTGCCGCTGGTTCAACACAGAGATGTTGAAAGCGTGGTGTTTATGGTCCACGCGGCTCAGCTAGCCAAGTCAGATTGGTGAAGGAAGCATGCCCCCAGAGGATATGAGGATGAAAAGAGTCCATAAGTGCAGATGGATAGATATACGGTCTTCAAGCAACAAAATGGACCATGGCGGTCTGGCAAAGTCGTAGTTGACTCACGGTGTGATCGCGATCCAGCTTCAAGTCCCTGAGGGACTGACGTATTTCACGCGCCAGCTGCTCATCTTATTCATCAACAAGATCCCGAATACTGGTGAGAGAGGTGTGGACAACGAAACTAATGTCGTCTTCCAGGAGCTTCGCTGAGACTGGCATATGTCGAAGATCACTGATGCAGGGGGTCGCACAATTAACTGCTTGTCACAGACACCTCGCGTTGAACTGGGTGTATTTCTCTTGTCGCTCAGTATGGCAACAGGGGCAACTATTACATGTTTATATAAAAATTCAATTCCATTTTGACCAAGGGTTTCGAACAAATTTGCTTAGTTGGCAACCCGGGCTGTAAGTCTGATCGATCCATCTCAAGCCCGAGAGGCCTGCGACAGGCACAGCGGCTAACGTCAGTCCATTTTTTCTAGCTTTGGGACGACAATGAATTTCATGTAATATCCCAGCCAACATCATGTTATTGGGTCCTCACAGACAATCTGACGTTCGGGCTTTGCCTTTGCTTTGTTCTAGCCAACAGCATCAATCTGCCAGGCATTCTGTTCAGATGATGAACCGTAATGGACTACTTCTCCGACGCTTCGAGATGCGCATCCTAGACGCTAGTTTTCACCGTGGTGGATGTATCCTGGGGAAATCCGCAGGAGCCGTGAACCGTTGGCACCCACCCCGAGATGCTATCCAAACAGCACTCTAGGTTACGATGTCATACAGCCTTCAGGCACCATTGCTTCAAACGGGGAGAAATAGATTGACAGAGCTCATTTTACTTCCCAAGATTTCCTCACTTCAGAATGTCGGTTCTTTTCATAGCTATCTTGTTGCTCTCACTGCTGATCCCACACTGAGCACTTACGGCGCCAGGGAACGTATGACCCTCGGCACATTCTGCTTCCGCCAGAGCTCCTCACACAATGCCACCACTAAGCGGTCCCGAGAGTTTCTGGTGTCGAGAAATCTTTCTTGCCTACTATAACTCGTATTTCGCTGGCCACATCGAACCCTGTGGCGCTTTCACGTCGTTGCAGGATACACATCGCCGTCGTCCGGATTCTTCCTCCGCTGCCTGCCACATCACCAATACGTCCAAAATACAATTAACATAACACAGAAGTAATCACAAACAAGATTACATATTTATGTATATTACGTCTACTGTGCACTCATAACTGTGGAATATCAAGATCGAGCTGTAGGGAGGCCGATGGATCATTCAGGTACAGACGAGCACCAGCGTATGACTTCTGTCCTTCCCAACTTTAGTCTAGAGACGGCCGGTCAGCCTGTTTATATAGAATTCATTGACTCACAGCGTGGACTATGCAGTCTCTCCATAGAGATTGCGGCCCTGCCTGCGTAGTCTACTTGCCTCATGTAGCCTCAGCTACGCTAGCTCGTGACTTGATACAAAGTAGGATCCACGTCGCCTCGCTCCCATCTTTGAACACAATCTGGTCTACCTGGTGCTTTGTAGCAGGGCATCATTGATGAATGTACATGAGAAGTCACGCCGGTTCTGTTCTTGAAGCGCTTGCATCGCATCTGTATCTCAGCCCATTCTTGAAATACCCATCGTTGCCAGTTTGCGTCTTCGCTATTCTCATCTTATTTCTCACCAATACTCTGAACCATGTGGTGTCACCAATGGAGAAGGGGAATTGCCATCAACCTTGCCAAGGCCAACCCGACGGAGCAAATTAAAGCACCATGGCACATTCAAGAGGTGAAAGCCACAAAGAACGATCATTGCGGGCAGAAACGTCATGCGTTACTGATGTCTTATAAAGTTACACCAGCACCATGCGTAGACCAAGCCTCATGCTGAAAAGTCCTGACCCGATGTGACCGGTGCTATATTAGACGTTCTAATGCTAATGCGACTTCTCCCACAACGAACAAATCCTCGGGTCGGCTTCTCACTGACCTGACCAAAGACAACCGTTCCGGTATCGAGAACAGCTCCTCAGAGCTTTTGGCCTCTTGTACGACAATTCCTACAGGGCCTCGAGATATCTGTCGGGGTGTATTCATGCCCAACACCAGGACATGGAAGACGATGAATCACGACCGACATGGCCGCCCAAAGCCCACGTTCCTCCGCGCGAGATCACAGCAAAGTCTTTGGACGAGCGTCCAGGAATTGACCCGCACTAGTTGAACGAAGACGCATGTGGCAATGGCATTCCTGAAGATTGTAACATCAAGCTCCAACATGCCATCTTTATACCTTCGAATCATGACGTCCGGACCTCATCTCGTCAGCGCAAGACCCAGCACAGCTAAGCTCAACCCTACCATATGCCTACCGTACTCACCTTTCGAAGGACGACCCCTATTCAAACCTCCGCGATATAAAAGCACAGAGCAGAAGAGCAGCCAGTCCGTCCAAAAACAAGATTGAGTGGTGGGCCACATATTGTGGTGCCCCGATGTTGGGATGGTATCGCTCATCCACCATGACAAGTTGATCCTTCCTAGGTAAAAGTCGAATCGACAACGTCCTCGACAAGAGTAGCTTATCACGGTATTTCCGACAGTCAATCACTTTCTCTGTCAGCCATTGCCGCCTGGCATATATCCTTGGAATATTCCCCGGATGGTCGCAGTTCGGTTGGTAGAACCGTGTGCGCGGGGGAAGATCAGGCATCGCTCCGACGCCCTTGCGAGAAGGCTCGCGTCGCCAGAAATCTCAATACAAGCAGGTGGACAGCTCCAATGCTAACTCCCAAGTGCTTCGCAAAGCGAAGGCTTGAAGTATGTTATCGCAAGTATCACGTATCCCAGAAGGCGCATAGTTCTTGATCAACGTACGCTTTCATTTCATTCCAATCTCATAGCACGCTCTCGCGGCTCTGTCCATCGTCTATAAGCCCACCATCGGCTGCAAAGTCGCCCGTATGCCATGATGTGTATGTATATATATCACCGCTCAATCGCCGTTGCCTCTTCGCACAACACCTTCCATAGTCCGTCCCTAGGTTGATCAAACATTAAACGTCGCTTGCCTCAATGCTCCCCGCCCCATCCGCCGTGCGACGCTCAAATAATGCCAAGAAGAAATAAGGTTGGGTGGTTGGTATGAAAACAAAGAAAAGTTGTCAAAATATGTAAAAACGTAACGGGGTATTGGTTGAAGTAATTGCCCAAACCCGTCAAAATCGACGGGTTCGTCGTAAATAACGCCCTGACTTTCCCTCTCCGGGGAGCGATACGTCGCCACCCAGACATATCGGCCCCGCGGGAACGAGTCTCTCGCTTTTCTCGCCTTCAATTCAGATTGAAATTCTCCGGTTTACATCATCCTGGGCCCGGTCGGTCCTGGTGGGGGTGGCTTGTCATCCTTGCGATTGACGATGCCAACCAACACGCCCACAATCAAACCGATCAGGAGCAGCAATATGGCACAGAGAACTGCGGCGAGGATGGCGAGCTTCTGCTTCTTCTTCTTGCGCGCCTTGGCAACCGGCCCCAGACCGCCCGGGCTGTTACCGTAAGCAGGCATGCCACCCGTCATTGATTGCAAGTACGCCCTCGGCTGCTGTCCATCTTGTCCTTCTGGGTCTGCAATGTGCGGTGCTGCGGGTGCTGGTGCTTGCTGTTGTTGTTGCTGGACTTGCGGCGAAGCTGTGTAAATGCTCTGAGATTGAGCAGGCACCCCACGTTGCTGTCCAACCGCCTGCTGTTGCTGCTGCCCAAGAAGTGCGCTCTCACTCGGGTTTGGCGAAGTTGGGTCCCTCGGCGTACTTGTGCCAGTCGCTCCTGTCCCGGGCCTCGAGGGGTCGTACGGCGGCGGTGGCGGCAGGTTCGGGTTCGCGGCGGACATGCCATCGGGGCTCCACGGGGTCACGGCAGGGGAGTACGGATCGTGCGTCGGGGTCCAGGCCTGCGGTTGTTGTGTGGCGGGCGGGTACTGAGGGTATGCTGTTGTGGGAGCTTGGCGACTGGCAGCCCCGGGCCCTGTCATGGCTGCGGTGTTGTAAGACTGGGAGTAGCGTGCTTGAGGCATGGCGAGCTTGTCGTCTGGGTGGGATGTCGGGGCAGCGGGGCGGTAGGCAGAGTCTTGGGGGTAGGCGGCATTGGCGAGGGAGTCTGATGGGTGGTGATTTTGGCCGCCGGGTGTGTATCCGGAGTCGACGGGATACAGGGCATTGGCGAGGGAGTTTGTGGATTGGCGGTTTTGAGCGCCGCCGCCTGGTGTGTAGGAAGAATCGGCGGGATACATGGCGTTGGAGATGGAGTCTGACTGCTGATGATTGTAGGACATGGTGGGCGAGCTGGGGGTTGGTGATGGTGAGTAAGTGGTGTATGAGAGGTAGCTATGAGATGTCGATTCAGAGATTGAGGTCGAGCTTCTGCGCGGAGAGTTCTCTTTGTCCCAGCTTAGATAGTGCTGGGCGAGCCCCGAAGGCTTAGGCGTGGGATCGCGCCAGACGGAGGCTTTCGATGTGTGCGCGCGTTGAGGTCCTCCCTCAGTAGCCGGCCTTGAGTCAATGCAATGAGTAGCGTAGTTGATGTAGCACAGGAAGCGACCGGAAGTAGGCTCTGATGTATAGTAGAGCAGGTGAGCGATTGGAAGTGTGTAGGAACGCTTCCCCCCTCGGTCGTGTCGCAAATGAGGGAATGAGGTTGAAGGCAGAGGGGAGGAGGAGGTTGAGAAGGAGGGAAAGGTAGCGGTTGAGAATGAGGGACGAGAGAAAGAGGGAAGGAGGCGCAAGGAAGGGGTCACCCGGGCTGCGGCAGCAGCAACGGCAGCGGCAGAGCGAGCCCACACTTCCAGGTTCAGATTGACAGCCCGGGACAGTCCAGTCAGGATGGATGGATGCAACCAGCACCCAAAATGCACCATCAATCAGCTCTTTCCCTTTCCCTCCCAGTCCCGTCCCCTCTAAGGCTAAGGCAGTTCACTGCAACCAAGTGGGCTCTGCTACCTTGCCTTACCACGCTGCTCGGCGGCCTTGCACTTAATTCTCCTCCCGTCCACCATCACCAGCCTGCCGCCCTTCGCCCTTTTCGGCCGTTTCCCCTTCTTTAGACTCTTCTCGTGTGTGCTCGAGCTTCCCAGGACGTGGCAGGGCAGGGCAGGGCACCCGGCATTGATTGACTCTTCAACTCCTCAGTGTGGCATGCAACGACGCCGCCGCTTGCGACACGATGGTTGCGTCGAGCCACTCACGGCTACGATCTGTCTACTGCGGTACTGTACGCGACTGCTTCAGCCATCAGCCTGCCGCTGACATCGTCCTTCTTAACGCCTCTTATTCCCGCACCTCGACCTTGCCTCACCTTCCTACTCGAGAAGTCCCCCCTCCTCACAGACGAACCAACTGTCTGCTCAGGTCGCAGAGACCGGATGATAGGTGGGCGACAGGTTTCAAGACCACCCGATGACACTGATTGACAGCTTCTGGTTCGGCCGTTTTTCCAAGGTCCAATTATTCAACTATTCCTCCCCCTTTCAATAACGACTCCCACACAGCAGACTCTTTTTTCTCTCTTCACTTTCGCTCTCGCCTCCCAAAGTCCCAGTTGCTTGCTTCTCCGTCTTATCCAGACGCCGGAGCAGACAGCGGGCCACCCCTGTCAGAAAACCTGCCCCATTTCTATTGCGAAAGGCGATGGCGAACCGGGGGGGACCACCGATGCAGGTACCCTTGCAATGGAGGGCCACATCTGCGCCTTGAAAGGGGGTGTCGAGGGGCGGAGGGTGACTGGGGACGGCAGACGGAGTCTAGCGACACTGATTTGACCAAAGAAAAAAAGAAGACTCCAACAAGACTGCAAGTCTGGCTCCCGGGGGGCCGCCATCCCCCACGCCACGCTACCGATGCCCTTCTTCATACCACGCGCAGAGAGGGGCTGTGTTCCCACGACCGCGTCCCCTGGCGAGAGCGATTACCCAGGCTGGCACGCCATGCCCGGCAGACCGAAACTGGGCAGCCGAGAAGCGGAAAAGCCAAGAGCGCAGCGCAAAAACCCACGATATCAACAGACTTTGAACAGTGAACACGAAGAGCACGCTGAAGATAAACTACGCCAAGGCATCGGCAACTCAAATTTTCGCCGGTGAAATTGAGAAAGAGCAAACCACCACCTTCCCACCCTTCCGCATCCGTCCTAGCGCCCTCACCATCACCCGCGCATCACAACTTCCCCTCGCCTCGGCCTCATTTACAATCTGCAATCTTGGATCGTCAATCTCTATCCGTAAAAAAGCATAAGCCCACGACTCATTCCATCCTCCACCGGTAAGCAAGGCTACACGGCCTCCCCCCTCAATGACCTCACTTCAATCTAGTCTTTCAGCCTCAATCCTGAAAGGATAAATCAAAACTTACTCGCACTCTCGTACTCTCACCGGCCTGACCGGCTCACCTCTTCCGAGTCATCACCAGAGAACGGCACTCGTTCAATGCCAGCGGGCCGGCCACACATCTTCCCCGGTTTCTATCTTTGTCCAAAAAGGAACCCACAAAACGCACATTCCCTGGATGTTCACTTCTTTTTCTTTGCAAATTTCCTCTAAAACAGCGTAAACAACACTCTAGACACGTGTTGTCCACCCCTTCGCTAACCAACAGCTATCGTCGCATAGAAATTGTGCCTCCAATCAATATGAAATCGACCGCAACGCGCCAATCACCACCAACCAATGCCCCCAAAATACCGCGCACTCAATCCAAACTCACGGCCAAATTCCCTTCCTCGGAGCGCCGAAGCTTCATTTATGGAGATCGGGTGGCTCCCTGCTCCATCTATATCCTTTTCACTAAAACCGCCGCCCTAACGAGGAAGTTTAGAACAGAAAAGCACAAACCCTTAACCCACCCAACGGAGATGTCAAGGAAGTTCCAGACCTGCTGCTGCACCCGTTCATTCTCTCTCTCCATGGATCCGTCCAGTAGTCGAAGAAATCTAGACGGGGGATTGCCGGCCCTGCGACGCTAAAACTTTTTGGTACCGTCCAGTTGCAAGCGAACAATCCATCCTTCCCGAGCGGAGAAAAGAACCAACCTGAACCCACCACGAGGAGTGAACATGCCGTTCGTGCCTTTTTCTCCTTGGTTCCGCGAGATTAAATTCAAAGAAATCGCCTCCGGCGGCGATCCCCGACGACGATCCTGTCTGATGGGGAGCCGTATGGATACCATCCCACCGCTGGGGCCATTTCGTGACCAACATGCACAAACAGCGAGAAAAAATGTCTGATGAGAATGACGTCTGGTCCGAAGTATATCCCTCTGCGCGAACAAACAATGACAATGGGGACCGTATTGCGTGCATTTTGAGAACAATTCATGGCAGCGTCACGGCAAGGTATGGGGAACGAGTCAAAATGTTGTCATCAGACCGGATTATGTCTTGATTGATATCAATGGTATCTGCACAGCTCCTCGACTTCTCCAAAAAGTCTCAACGCCCTCGCTGACTGGCTTCCTACTCGTACACAACGAAGACGCTACGCGTGCTGATATCCTCCTCCTCCTCCTCCACTTCCAAAGCTATAGAAAAATAGAAAAAAAGGGCCACACTACTTCTTTTTTAATACAGGATGATCGGGGGGCGCCGGCGTGCCTACATTCCATCCTTTTGCTGCTCGGGTTTGGCAGCTCATCACCTCATTAAGCGTCACTATGTACATGTTTTGGTTTACCCCTCGGCACGCCGTCGACGACCTTCATCATACTGAACACCGTCCCCCATCCTCACGTGGCGCGAATTCAGCTCCCTTCTGCGGCGACAACACCGGATGAGGTGCTGTTCGTCGCCGTCATCGTCGTTGGCGTCGTGGTGTTTCCGGGGACGTTGACAAGGAAGTGGACAAGGTCTACCGAATTACCTCCGCCGAGCGTCACATTCAATGCCTGGCTGAAGGCGACGCCTCCGTTCGATGTCCGACTGCCTGTGCCTGCCTGCGTGAAGAACCGCTGGAGCACCGTCTGCGCTGTCGTCGCGGCCATCAGGTTCTGCCTCTCGAGAATAAGCAGCACGGCGACTCTCGCAAAGTCAAGAGTCTCTTCCGTGACGCTGAACGTAGGCGTGGGCGACGGCGATGGAGATACAGGTACCGAGGGAACCAGAGGCCCCTGTGTCGATGTTGTCGTCGGTGGCGTTGAAGTTGTCGTCGGCGGCACCGAGGTTGCCGGCGGAATTGTAGGCATCGTGGCTGGAGCCGTCGAGCTCGAGCTGATTGTCGTCGGCGTGGGCATCATAGGGATAGTAGCCCACATGGTCGAGCTGGAGGCGTGGATCGTCGTGACGCGGAATGGGCCTGAGAGGGTCGTGAACCCGCCAACAATGTCGCCAGAGGGACCAATAACGGCACCAGTCTCGATAAAGTTGAAGGTAATCGTCGTCGCCTGCCCAGGAAGAAGCGTGATGATTTGGATCGGTATGTTGTCAGCGTTGACGCCCACGTTGGCAACCACCTCTTGCGAGTTGGTGGTGCCTTGGCGAGTTGAGCGCCCATCAAAGGTAACAAGCGAGTTTTGCGCAATGCAAGAGAGGCTCTCCGTGTTGAACTTTGCCAGAATGTCGGTTCCGTCCAAGGTGACGGTGAAATTGGTCTGAGCCTGCTGAAGGAGGCGGGGTATCGCCTGGCCGAGGGTGACATTATTGAAATTAGATGAGGTGCCGGTGATAGTGGTGGTGGTGCATCCGGTTGCGCCGGCCACGGAACAAGTCTGACCGGTAAATCCATTCGTGCAAATGCATGAGCAGACATTCTGCGAAATGACATTCGTACCGCCGTTCTCACACTTGAGCTGGTTCTGGCATTGACCCAGAGCCGGCTCAGTAGTGGGAGTGCTGCCTGTCCTGTTCTTCCGAAAGACGAAGAACTCGAGAGGAACGATGATGGCAGCGGCGATGATACCCAAAACAATGACAACAATCAAAATAAAGGCCCAGAGTGGTAGGCCGCAACACCTTCTCTTACGTTTGACGGAGCCCTCATCGCTGTTGGACTCTAACCTTGCCAAGGGAGATGATCTGGCTGCCATGGCGCGTGTCATGGGTTGTACTGGCGTACCGCCACGGCTTCCTGGTGCAAGAGGCCATGATCCATGAGAGTTACGCCTGAACCAGCTGCCGCGCTGGGGAGGATTAGGAGTTGTTGCTGGAGGAGGAAACGCAGCCAACATGTCAGAGAGTCCTGACTGATGTTTTTCAGCAGCTGGTTGACGACGTTAGCGGATGACTATGGAAAAAAAACTTCATTTCACTCACCTGACATGTTTGCCATTTGGTGCTCCCCCTCACGCCCAAACGCCTTCTCATCCGGCCATTCTCCGTCCATGTCAAATCTGCTTGCAGGCCGGCGTCCTCGGTCAATAAGCGCGGCTAAGCGAGTTGCGCGTTTGATCAAGTCTGGCAAACTGGTCATACTGCCTCTGGACTCCATCTCTCTGACAGAGTTCATGTCTAGGCCCAACTTTGGCGGGCGACGAATCGCCGATAGGCGGTTGTACGGCCGTGGCTCGGGTGTGACTTTTCTCATTTCCTCCGGGTTTGTTGAACTGGCAGCAGCAAACGCTCCCAGCATGGCATCAGCTGTCACTGAAGGCATGGTTGCCGTAGCTGCCATCGTGGGCACCGTTCCTGAGGAACTGGACCCCTCAAGATAGCCTGTGCCGTTGTCGAAGGGGCTGTGCGGGAGCTGGTTCTGGAGAGGTGATGGTGTTGGTCTGAATGCTTCCTGCGGTAACGGGTCGCCGCCGCTCGGAGCTCGGTTCATTACGATTGATGGTTTTTGCATCTTACCAACACTCGCGCTCCTGACGAGCTTGCTTTCGTCACCTTCGCCATACTGCGCCGTGCTTGCTCTGCTGTTGTCCTCGTCTTCCTCCGTGGAGTACGCATCATCCTCGTAAAATTCATCGGGGTATCCTGGGCTGAATCCTGGCGATTGACTGCCCCAACTCTCTGGCATAGCGGCGCTAGAAGCAAATGAGGTATGCGACCTCGACCTTGGGCTCTCTTCGGGAATCGGAGAAACAAATGAAGCATTGGAATAGAAGGACGAATCACCTCGTCGAGACGACGGAGGAGGTCCGAGGGTGACGCTCCGTCTCGGCAGAGCGGCGGGAGGAGGTGGCGGGATCGGAGCGGGAGGAATGGTCGATGGCAATGGGAAATCCGGAATCGATCCTACGGAAGACATTGACGACTGCGTATGTCTCGATGACGGGGTGAGTGGTGCGGACGAGGGATCTTGGCTCAGCGTCGATTCTCGTCCGATCTGGGGGGTGTACTGAAATACGGGAGTGTGTTCTTGCACTCGGGAGCTGTCCAGAATCGAAGGGACCCTACTTGGGCGAGGTGGGCGTTGCGGTGGTGGTCCCCTTCCTGGGGGAGGTCGGTACGGCTCGGCTTCGGGGGATGGGGACGGGATGGGTCCGGGCAGCGGCCATTGGGGGATTTGCGTAGGCCGCGAGATGGCCATGCCGATGCCGCCATCTTTGTTCTGTAGCGCGGCCGGAGGTAATGGTCTCGGGATTCGTGACGGTGCGGGATCGGGGTTCTGGCGGCTCGGCGGTGGTGAGACATCCGTGGGGCTGTCCAAGTCCTCTTCCATTATCGGGAATCGTGTTGCGGACGGCGGTGCGTACTGGTCCCTCGGAAATCCGGCTTGAGCCCGCTCTCGCGCCCGCTTGACGGATCCTGCAATAGGTGGTCGATCCATATCTTTTCCATATTGGGGTTGACTCATTTAGTACTCGTGAATTCGGTCCAGCGACATCAGAGTCTCCTTTTCCTGCCTCTCTGCTTTTTCTTTTCCGTTTCAAGGTACCTGCGCGTCCAGACACGACAATTAAACCATTCGCCCTGCGGTATCACCTGGGTGCAGATTCTACGACAGTGATTGCTGCGGGTCTCCGATAGTTGGCTGATGCGGCGGCGCTTTCGAAATTGCCCGACGACTAGTTGCTCGTATAAGCTCGAATGACAGCGTGGTTTGCTGTAGGTGCTCGACGCAGTTTCGCGGACAGAAACGACTGGCGGGTGGGTATATCAAACGAAGGTCGCTCAACTCTATTGCGAGGCGGTGTAACTGCGCGAGATTGAAAACAGGAACCAGGCCTATTAAAACGAGAATCGAAGTCTAGACGATGGCGAAATGCGATCGGAGGGGTGGCGAATGAAGAAAGGAAAGGCGGCGAAGGAATGAACTGCGTCCGCGGGTGCGGCAGCAGGGAAAGAGAATGTTAGATGAATTAATTAGGGTAGTAGGGAATGAAAAACGAGGCTCCGACGATCTATCGTGGGAAAGTCCAGGTCAGCACTGGAGAGTGTGAAGGGTTTGAGAGACAGAACAGAACAGAAAGAAGAGGCGAGGAGTGAGGCAAGGCAGGCAAGCAAGGCAGCATGTACTGTCTGTCTGCACAACGCCGCGTGAGAGACTCTGCCACTCTTGCCCAGGTGCAGAAGCAGGAGGTTCCCGGCGGTTCGGGAGGGTCGCTTCAGGTCGGCCACACCCCCCAAAGCAGGGAATACCTGAACAGCCGGGCCACGGGTAGGGGGAGTCCCAAAGGGGATCACGTACAGTTGGTGTTTCGAGACTTTGCTTTTGTCCAACGTGATTCGCCCGCCTGGGAGAATTTGTCGTCGTTGTCGTTGCTCTGAACAGCGATGCTGGACGGCGACAGTCGACAACAGACACAGGATGATGGATGGCTGGAAGATGATGGCATCGACGTCTGAAGCGCGCGCAGGAGTGCTGGCTACGATGGTCGGCGAAGCGGCACGACGTGAGTGTCTGTCTGCACGACTTGACAAGAGAAATCAGGTGGGTGAGACGGGCGCGGATGGGTGCACGACACACACTGGGTCTTGCGGTGCTGGCGGGAGGGACTGAGAGTGTTTCAGACGGGCGGAACGGGCAGGGTGTGTCCGGCGTCGGGGAGGCAGCACCTCTCTGGGGGAACCTTGTGACTGACGTCTGAAGATTTGAAGATCAAGAGACAATCAGGCGAAGAAGAAGGCCCGTGGTGGATTCGATGGGTGATATGATGTGCGAACTGACAGGTGAGGCCGCGTGGGGAGGTCGATGGATTGTTTGGAACCCGTAGAGAACAAGATGAGAGAGCCCGAGGCAGCGGCAGCAAATGAAAATGACGCGGGATCGAGTTGTTTCCTCTTCTTCTCCTGTCCGAGACGGAGGGATGGCAGTTGGGTTAAGAGAAGGGTCGGCTTTGTCTTCAAGACAAGGCGGTAGCGGTTTATTTTTTGCTGAAATTCCCGAGCTGGCAGCGGGAGAAGCAAGCAAAGGCCAAGAGGTGTCGACCGAGGACGACTGAACAGCAAGAAAAAGAAAGTCGAGAAGTGAAAAAAGCTGGGTTCCGGTGTGTGTGAGTGCGTGTGCGTAGGGTGTCCCGGGTCTGTGGGTGTTGTGCGAGAGTGGTATCCGTAGGCGACGACGACACACGGAGATGGGCTATCGGGGATCTGTCGAGGGACTTGGACAGGGCGATCTCACAGTGTTACAGCAACGACAGGTGGGATGTTGGTCGACTCGACGACTGTGCGGACGGGACGACGAGGAGTGTCGTTGGTTGTCTGTCGTTCGTGCTCGTTCGCTCGCAAGCGGCGGCGTGCAAATGTCGAGGAGGAGGGACGGGGAGGTGGCAGAAGAAGACGGGACAGGACTCGACGGGGAGAGGTCGAAAGAGGAGTCGAGACGGGACAAGAGGGGATGAGAGGGATCCCCCGGAGTCAAAAAGAGGAAGGGCTGGCCAGGTGCCAGAGCCAGAAGAGGCTTGGAGTGTTCGGGGGGCTCTGGATTGGATCGAATGGGTCTATCGACGACGGGGGTGCGCTTCAATATTGGGGTGTGGTCTGGCCTGAGTGACAGCCCATTTGTCCGTTGATGGCGAGCAGGACAAGCACACAGCTCCACCGGGGGTAATCAGGGATGCGTAGTTTTGGAGTCAGTCTTGTCCTTTTTGCAGTGCTCCTGTCAGTCTATCTGTACGCCGTACACAGGCAGGTACGAGGAAAAGAATGATACGCCGAGACTTCAAGATGCGCTGCTATCTAAAATCGAGATACGGGTACGTGCCCATGGCCTGGGACGGGATTGCGCAAACGACAACCCCAACTCAATCAAAGAATGGAGCCGCAACAGTGAAATGAAAGACCTGGCCGGTGGGGGGGGGAGGGGTGTTGGTCATGTCACCAACGAGACGGTTCCCGAGAGAGAGTCACGTCAAGATCCAACAAGAGCGCAAACGCAGAGGCCGTTGAGAAGTCTCAGTCATCATCTCTATCTACGAATGCCTAGGTAGACTCTGTCTGGCAATGGCAAGTGTGAGGCGTCGTTCAATTCAATAGTCAGGCACGCTTTTTGCAGGGCACTTGGCAATATGGAGGCGGCTATTTCGAAAGGAGGAAGAGCATGTGTGACGGGTTGCCCCTGGCTGCAATTGCAATTGCGCCTGCTCTCGCTGCAATTTTTAGGAGGTCGAGCACCCAAAGTGGCAGATGGAAGGAAAGCACGGCTCACCAAGGGGACTGTGGCTTCCATTGGCTGCACTTCGCGTGCCAGGGGGCAGGGGGCGCTCCTTCTTAGCTCCAACGCTTCAACGCTCCTGCCCCGCCTGGGGGGTCACTCTCCGTCACGCCCCTGTCTCCCAGAGTCTCGAGGTGGGGCCAGAGAGAGCACAGCGGGCCAATGACGAGCCCAAAACGTTTAAGCGGAAACACTAGCGCAGGCACACACCTTCGCGACCCCTTCAACCCCTGCACTTGCGGTCCAGATGGCCCGATCTGGGGGGTCCTTCTCTGCTCCACTGATTGCTGACGGGACTTGGGTGAGGGTCTGCGATGATTCTGCGAACACTCAACCGCGTCCAACAGAGCAAGGAGTCGTCGTCGACAACGACACCATTTGGCAAAATACCCACTGGTTGCAAAGACCAGGAGCAGAGACGCGACAGGGGATTCGCCCGGATAAGAAACCTCCCCGGCGTCCGCTTCCCACCATTCAACCCATCTGCTACGAGCTTCCGTACGGATGATTCTCTTCCTGCAAGCAAGCTGCGGCATGCCCAGAACCGAAGCCACCAGGAAGTCAGACTGACAGAGTATCCGTACAGCCTGAAGTCTTGGATGCCCTCCTCGCCTGCCGTCGTCGCGTCTTAGGTTTTCTCTTCTCTGTGCTTGCTTAGCGTTCTCTGCACCTGTCAGAGCTGCCGGAGGTGCGTTGGTGTGCAGCGGCCAAAAAAAAAAAGGAAATGCCAGTCTGCAACAACCCAATTTTGGAAAGAGACCAAGAGGAAAAAGGCAAAAGAAAACCATCAGCCAAACTGCGACACCCAAGTTGCCATCATCACCGCGCGCGCTTCCCCAGACTCAGACATTGACCGCACCGTTCATCCTGGATGTCTCTGATCCGTCCGTTGAAGGGACCATGGAGGGGGCCACCGCAGCCAACCAGCCATGCGGCCCGCCAACCAGCACCGGCCGTCCATTGCGTAACGACGACGGCCACTTACAACAGTACCGGAAACAACACCTCACACCAGCACGCACCACCGCAGCAATCACATCCCGACCTCTGCTGTGCCGAATGGCGCCTTCCACGTCAAGACGGGACGAATTGAAACGTCTCGTTCCTTGAGCTGATGTCTGCCACAAAAAAATGAGAGGAAAATACCCCGAAGACATATGCCCCGTCCCTCTCCCGCCTTCAAACTCGACACGCCAGTCGGCAAGCCTCCGAGGCATTTGATCAACTCCGCCCTCAGTTGCAGATAGAGACTGCTGTCTAATTCGCGAGTCTTGGTCGACAATTGGCTGCACGATGCAGGCTCGCTCGCCGCGCAACACGATGACCGGCCAATACGAACATCACCGTCCGGATCCAAGCGAGCGCAAGAGGCGGAAGAATGGGAATTCATTGTTGCATCTCGCCCTGCCATTGTGACTCGTCGCCTCGGATCCCTTCAACCCCAGCGGCAGAACGCTGATCGGCATTACCTTAAAGGCATTTGAGCGGGGGTCTGCCTGCGGTGTGCAGAATCCAGAGTTCCTGTAATCATCCCTCCTGCAGGAACACCATGGAAAACCAGGAACACCTCGACGCGCACCAGTCACTTTGCGACATCTCTGCGCGTCCGTTCAGGGTGCCCAATGTTGCGCTTCCTCCTTGGCCCGAGATGCACAGCAAACTGACGGCCTTGCTCATCACCTGCATTCTTTAACGCAAGCCGGACAAATCGAGATAGCCCTCGTCACTGGGCCGCTCCACCCAACCAGCAACAAGCCCCAAGACGGGCGCAAGCCGTGAGGGGGCACAGCGGGTTGGCAGGCCACGCGGGAACCACTACGAACAAGGTGCCCACCGTCCACCACCACCACCTACTTCCTACATACATCCACCGTCAACTGTCCACCGCAGATGCGGCGGATGCGTTTGCAGATGCGCCTTTTTGTTCTGCAGACTGCTCGCCGAGTTCTAGACGCGTTTCAGCTGCCAGATGCATGCTGCACGCATGGAACAGGGCCAAAGGGGCCACACCCTCTGCAGAAGGCGTCCCGCTACTTCGGCATCTATATCCGTCACAATTGGCTGTGTCAGGCGCAACTCCTACAAGAATGCACCCTGCCACGTGGTCCCTTTTCTTGACCTTCAACAATGACAGTTGTTGAATCCGTGGCTCGCTCGACAATCTGATGGTACAA